CCAGAGGAGTTACCTTCTGCTCCGTCCACCTCCCCAGCGACTCGTCAGGGGTCAGGCAGATCCGAAGTGTCCACTATGACCTTAATAAAAATGGTATCATCTTTAATATATGTCCCGTTTTCTAGCACAGTTTGGGCCACGAAGACTGGGCAGCCGGAGGCGATATTCATCTCCCCGGTGGGCTTCTTGAAGCTGCTGCTGTTGGGGTCCGGTTTGAACGCGTCTCCCAAGTGACGCCGAGAGGACCCCTGATCCATCAGCATGAGTGTCACTTTCTGCTTGAAGGGCCAAGGAAGCAGAGCATCGTACTCCCCACGCATAATGACAAAAAACAGCGACAGGTGCGTCCCCTTCCCCATGCCGTCCCCGTTCAGGTAGACCCGGGCGCACATCTTGTAGCCGAAGTAGCCGGTGTAGAAGGGCTGGCTGTACAGGGACAGCGTCTTCCCCATGACGGCCTCCTGCTTGCGCCGCCGGTAGTCCCGGATCTTCCAGATGAGCACCCCGTCGTAGCTGGCGGTCTCCAGAACCTGGAAGCGCAGGTCCATGTCCGCCAGGCGGATGTCGTGCACGCTCAGCATCTGGTCGTGCCGGCTCAGCTGGGACTCCAGCAGGCCTGGCACGGGCGAGGAGAGAGGGGCGAAGGGGTCAGTGGGGGTCAGAGGCCAACGCTCACCAGCACTTGAACTAAACACCAGGAAGACACTGTGGCTATCAGCTAGAGAAGGACAGATGCCATGCAGACGTCCCGACACAGGCCTCAGACCCCTGCACCGGGTGGCCCCAGCACGCACAGCCACAGGTCGATCTCCTGGGACCCGGGCACCACCCTGCAGGGTCTGCAACAGGGAGCCGCCCCGTGTCCCACCCCTGAGCCCCCTGACAGCAAGGATGGCCGCCCTCCTACTCTCCAGCCTCGAGGCCAGAGTCACCTGTGCCCTGAGTTTAAGCGCTCCTGTCCCCACTCCGCGTCCTCAGCCAAGCCACGTTCATCACAATAACCCTTGTTCCTGTCTCTGTTACCCCTTTTCAGGCACATATTCAGTGTATTTATTCAGGACCCAGTCGCGGGCCCCAGATGCTTCTAGATATCACGCACACAGGGGCTGAGCAGGCTGGGTGCTCCGCCTCCCTGCCTGTCACTGTCTGCTCCCTGGGCCTTCAGGAGCATGGCTGCGAGCACTGGCCCTGCCCTCCACCGGTGCCACCCCGCACCCACACCCTACCACGCCGGCCTCACGTGGAGGGGACAAGTCTAAGTGGGAACCGTTTCTCTCTGCCAAAGGCATCTCAGGGGAAGATCACCCATCACTGGGCAGCCCGTGCCTCACAGACGCAAGCCACGGCCCTGACCTGGGGTGCTGGGAGCAGTGTGAGACACATGTCACGTGTCCCAGGTCCCTCCCAGGCCCGTCACCCTCACCTGTGTTCCGGACCGCCTGCCCCGCGCCTTTGTCCACGCTCTCCAGCTCGGCCACGCGGCTCTGCAGGGACTCCACGCTGCTCCTCACGCCACCGGCCTCCTCCCAGCTCTGCCGGAACGGGCGCATCTCCTGGTCGAGCTCCCTCAGCTTCTCGGCCTGGCTGTCTATCACTCGCTTCCAAGCCAAAGGCGTCAAAAAGCAACACGGTTAGAACTCCCCGAAGACACTGTGGCACTAGCGCCAAACGCCTGCCCTCAGGGACATGGCGGTCAGCTCTGGCGAGCCTGGTGTCTGCTCTCACATGGAAACCTCGTCTGACCCCTTCGTGTGTCTAGGGGACACAGGTACTGAGGTCCCTACTTCCTAGGGGAGTGGACAGAGGCACAGAAAGGCCTCACCCAGCCAACCGCAGGGCAGGCAGCCCCACGTCACTGTCCCAAGGTCTCAAGGTCACGCCTACTAGTGCTGCCGGAGGCTCCGTTCCTGAAGGTCTGCGCCATAAGCAGGGGCCAAAACCACACGAGTCCCAGCGGGCGTGCCCCGTCCTTGGCTGCAGAGGGCACCCCGACACCCCGTCTACATTCCAGGAGAGAACTGCCACCACCCTGCCACCTGCTCGAGGCCTGAGCATCTGCACACGGCCGGCAGCAGGCAAGTGCTCTGCAGTGGGTCTGCAGGCCCTCAGTGAGGCCGAGGGGGCCGATGCCCGTGGTGGGGCTGCTTCCTCCACCTGCCCCGCCCCCACGCTTGGCGTCCCATGCCTGCTGGGGCACAGGACACTGCCAGCATACATGTGGCTGTCAAAGGTGGGGCTGGACTTGATGCTACTTTAATTTAAATAATTCAGAACACTTTCCTTCCAGAAACAGAGGTCATTCACATTTACAACAGGAACTGGGAGACGAGACTCATGCTCCAGCTGTGGTGGCCAGTCCATTTTAAAGGACTGGTGTGCCCACTGGTTAGATGAAGCCAGGACCTAAAGGGTTTTACTTCTAAAGAAAATTTGCATTTTTGAAATAAAGCTCCCTGGGCCGGCAGTGCAGGCCCCAGGGAGGCTGTGGAGTGCAGTGCCTGGGCGGCCTCCGGAGCTGTGGGCGGCCGGGGCTGCCCCAGGCCCCGCCGGGCTCACTTCTGCTTCTGTGAGCCTATTTTTAAACACCTGGGTTTCAGCACCTTTGCCGGCTGTTCGTGACCACGGAGGAACAAACATGGTAAATCGGGTTACTTTTTTTGAGTAAAAGTAGTGTTAGTTGTTGTCTTCTTTCCAAGAAAGCTCGATATCAGCTAACATTTAAAACTGTTTCCTCTAAAGAACACCTTCCATGCTGGTGTTACTTTTATTTTTAAATACATAGGGCTAGAGGCATATTTACTTAGGTCACGAAGCCTATTTTCTGGGGACAATACCACGGCCATGAACAAACATCCAAGCCCATGAGGTAGTGCTAAGTAACACCTGTGACTTCGCCAGTTCTCTCCCTAAATTACAAGCTAAGCTCACGCGGTTACTGGTGAGTATGACGGGGAAGTTAATGAAACCTTAAATAACTGGTGACAATTCTGAGAGACGCCATTTTGTAACCTGGTGAACCTAGGAGTGAGCCGTGAACTGCACGGCACGACGGCCCAAGGCAAGCCACTAGTCACTTCAAAAGCCTCATGCCCCTAAGGCCAAAAGAGGACACCGAGCTGCCTCCTTCTCAGGACTGGTGCTGCACCTGGGCAATGGCGAGGTTCGTGGTGGCCTGCAGAGCAGAACTGTGGGGTCTGAACGGGGGCCGCCATGCCAGCAGCAAGGCCCCGACTGCCCCCGGGGACGTGGAGTCACCCGCAGACGCAGGGCCAGGAGGGCACACGCATGCACACAGGCATACACATGCACACGCGCAGACGAGGCTCGAGCAAATTATGTAACAGAAGCTCCACACGCAGCAAGGGAAAATGCGCTATTTTAAAGTAGATCTTTCATTTGTATAAATGGTACAGTTTCGAAGCAGAATGCCGATCCAAATCAGGCCTTCTCTGCAAAATGCAGCAAACATGATTTCAGTCTGAAAGAGCAGTCCACACTTGGCCACGGCAATGTTTCTATAAAAACAAATCTTAAATGCAGGCGTGGCACTTCCTACAACAAAGAGTCCAGGAGCTGAGGCGAACGGCACGGTGGCCAGCTGTGAATGACCCTGATCGGAAGCTCCGCTTCCAGAACATCAATCTCTGTCTCGTGCGCTGCACACTGTGGGGCTAAAATCACTCCCCATCACTCAGCTCCAGGGGACCTGGAGACCAAACGCTGTTGCAACGAGAGGGTGCGGGCGCTGCTCGGGTGGCAGAGCCTGGTGGCAGTGTGGCAGTGCCGCAGACCCTCCAGCTGCAACGGCCACCGGCTCGCCTGGTCGCTACTGACGACGGGGATGTGGGCATCGAGCTAACACCTGGCCTGTCTTAATTAAGAGAAGCAGGTTCTTCAAAATATAAGATATCAAGAAACCACCCCGCCCGAGCCAGCAAAAGCAAACATACTCTGAACTTCCACTCTCTCTAAGGATCTCTGACTGTCCCCTCTGCCATACCCAGGGCCCTCGGGGTGTCTGCGCCCTTGTGCACTCCTGCCATCTGCAGGGTTCGTGTATCTACTGGAGAATCAGACCAGGAAGGAGACAATGCAGAGAGCGACATGGATGTCACTGCCGAGGGGGTCCGACCACAAGGCTGGGGGTGCCTCCCAGGAGGGCAGGGGTGGGCAAAGGCTTCCTGGAGTAGGTGGCAGTCACAGACGCTTAAGGTGTCCAAGGAGGGGCCTGCGTTGAGAAAGTGGCGTGAGAAGTCCCAGGGGGCCGTGCTGCGGGGAGGGTGGCTGGGAAGGGGCCACCATACGCGGTTCTCCGAGCCACTGTGCCACCTTTAAGACTCGCTCCTCTCCAGGTACTGGGAAGGGCTCGGGGACGGGGACGGGGACGGGGATGACGCGCTGAGTGGAGTGTGTCTGGGCCAGGCCAGGGAGGGGGGCGGTCTGTAGGGTCTGGGGAGAAGGCGTCTCGCTGGCGGCCAGCGTCTGCCGGCATCGAGCCCATGGCGGCTCCCACTGGTCACAGAAAGACTGAGACCAGAGCTTCTCACATGGCCAACCCGATGCTGGCAGCCCAACCCCTCGGTGACGTCAAAGGTGTGACTACATTTCGCCTTCCATAAAAACACCCAGCTGGTGGCCACCCGTGCCACCCACCCTGGGGCCAGGCTCCCCGCCCTCGGCAGCGCTGGCCTCGGCCGCTCGTCCCTGTGCTTATGGAAACCATGAGCAGCACATCCGTCTGGTTTCAGTCCCTCTCCTGAAATATGACTTACTTTCCTTCATGCTCGTCATCCCAGGGAGACGGACCAGCGAACCCCCAGCCCAGCGAACCCCCGGCCCAGTGAACCCCCAGCCCGGCTGCCCGTCGGCCAGTAGCACTAACAAAGCTGCCACCGCTACCAGGCTTCACACTCTGGCCTGGCAACGTGGGTCCCCTGTCTTTCTTAGATCTCACAGGGTTATCCAATAGTTTAAAACTATTAAATCGCACAGTGTGGGACGATTAAGCCCTACAAAAGGTAAGGTGAATTCTACCTTTTCACATGGGAAGCGGAGAGGGGCGCACATAGATCTCCATGGTTTTGGACAAGCACGTTTCTATGCTCACTATGTCCCTTCGAACTTTTTTCCTTATAAACGAACCCACTACATACCCCTTCTGTCTCCTGTTGATGTTCCTTGGCCTCTCCATGCACCTGAGCCCCGGGTCAAACGCAGCGGCTACGCTGCAAACGTGCACACACAGAATGCTGCCCGGACAGGCGAGTGAGCGGGGCCGCGGGGGACACAGGCCTCTACCCGAGCAACGTCTGAGGCCTCAGCAAAATGCGGGGCTCACACCGGCTCGTTGGTGTTTTACGTGACATCGTACTTTTTTCTGCTGATTCAATGCTAACGACTTGTATATTTTCTGACACGGTGTGATGTTTCATTGCGTTTTCCCTCACCTCTGGACAACCACGACAGTTAATACGGTAATTTAATCAGCGTCTACGGAGTCAAGGGCCTGGGACTGATCTCCACGTTAACTGGGGAGGGCACGGTTCCCCAGAGCCTGTCGGCCATCTTCTCTTCCAGAGCTCAGGGACACACCATCAGCACGAACACGGACGACCCATTTTGACAGCTTATTCATGATTCTTCCTCGTGTGTGACACGCAGGAAGTCACTATGCCCAACACGCAGCACGGGCAATCAAATGTGCAGACAGTACCTACAAAAACGACATGCCAGCGAGGACCCAGTGCAGGCCTGAGCCGGCTCAGACGAGGAGTGACTTTTCCTCAGGCCCACGCACGCCGCCTTCTCTCACGGCAGTGTGTGTGTGTGGGTGTGTGTGCGCGTGCACGCGTGTGTAGAGCAGTGTGTGTGTGTGTGTGCGCGCACGCGAGTGTAAATACCTTTGGATCACGATGGCGAAATAAGGTGAGTGAGTGTATGCGCCACTAGAAAATTCAGAACAAAATAGTTTGGCTTCAGTTCACTTTAGGAAGTGAAACTTTATATGTAACTACTCATGAACAATATGAAATCTTAAATAATAATAAAAACAGCCAATTTTTAAAAAATCACAGGCTTTCTGTAAACTTATTTCACCAACAGTGAACCGAAGGCACGGGGAGCGGGAGGGGGTTTGCTCCCCTGGGAAGAGGCTGCGGCCGCCCAGGCCATCCAGGCCACCTCCCCCAGTCTTCACTCAGGCGAAGGAGTCACGTCACCTCAGAGTGACAAAGGTCAGGGCTCCTGCTCAAACAGCGCATGGGTAAGTGCTGAAGAAAGGGACATGCTTCTCCACCCTTTGACCCGGGCATAGTCTTAAGCTTCTTACCTGCAAATGAAGTATTTTGGATTCATTATTTCGAAGCATTTCCTTCTGTCTCTCGATTTCGATTTCGAAGCTGCATATCTGATTGTGCAGACTCTGTATGCTCTTGTTCTTCTCCACACTCTCATTCTGCAGCAAGGACACCTGAAAAAGAAATTCGGTTAAGCAAGCGAAGAGTGGTTTCAGTGTTAATAACCGTTATGATAGCAATCGAAATTTTACAGTGTAGGCCTCCTATCAGCTCACTGGAAGGCGAACCAGGAAAAAAACCCTTTCACACAGGAAGTGGCAGTCCTGGAGATTTGACGGGGAATCCTACAAACTGCTTTTCTCTGAACCCCTCCCAGGGACTCAACGAGGTGAGGCAAAGTGCAGCTGACTAAATTTCAGAATGAATGGATTTTTTTAAAGATTTTACTGAAAACGAATAAATCCTTGACCAGAGAGGCTTTCAAGCTCTGACCAGGAAACAAAGCAGGAAACACAGTCTGGCACCTCACCCCGTCTGTCACATGTCATGCGTTTGTGTGCTCCTAAAAGGCAGGCACCACGAAACCATACTTGCCCTGATCATTCACGACGCACCCTGACATTTCCCATTTTATCCTATTTAACTTTAAAAACTGCTAGTTGCATCCCACTAAATTCTTTCGCACTCACCATTGGGCCAAACCCTGTACTTTGAAAAGCTCTCTCAACATAATGGGAAAGCCTGGAGAGAATAAAAAGCTACCCAAGAGCTTCAGTTAACTGAACCCTCACAGAGAAGGGGCTGCAGAGCAGGTGCGCCAGGCCGGCCCCCGAGGCCTTCGCAAAGCTCTGTGCGTCCCCCTGCGATGCCACAGCGGTCCCGGGGAAGGCCTGCTGGGCGCGCGGCCCACCTTCGACTTTTCAAAATCTCCTTCTGAGGAGCGATCGACCCCCAAGAACCACTGTGCACTGTCCTGAAAGCCCTGGGTGGAGTTCAAGGGCACTTCCGACCAGGCTTCCTGTCCCGGGCTTTCTACACGGGGTTCTGGCCCTCAGAAGGGCTCCCTCCACCCCCAGACGTCTGTCCCCGCATGGGTGCGGCTGCCACTCCAGAGTCACTGTACACTCCTGATGGATCAGAATGTTACCGTTCCACTAGACGTGCCTCTCTGACACGGCCAACGCCTGGGGACCACGGTGATGTCACCGATGTGACCAACCAAGGGCATCTGGGCAAAGCCAAGAGTGATAAGCGCCGACTGCTGCCGTCATCCCTTTAAAGAATAACTGGCCCAAAGACAGACGTCCTCCCTGCTCAAGCTGCTTGGGACACAATCTATTTTATTTCAGAACAAACGTATTTACTAAGGAAAACAAACCTTGCAATGTCTCCTAGGATTTTACTCAGCACGATTGGACTTTCCTTCCTAAAACATGATATCTCAAATGCCCACGTGCCTACACATGACACCTCGCGCTCGTCCAGAACTTGTCCAGACTGGGGCTTACTTAGTGACACACTGCTGCCTCTGCCTTTTCCAGAGCTACGGTCCACTCAATCCCATCTGCCAACGATGGACGCAGTTCCCAGAGTCCTTATTCTCACACCTAAGAAAGAGACCCTCGCCAGCCCTTCTGATAAAAAGCTCAGCAGTACCTCCAAAGACGACAGCCAATTTTCTGCAACAAATCCAGCTACTTGAGGATGAGAACGACTATCCCACATTAAACATTAAACTCTTAATTTCTTTACTGAGGGGCCCCTCTTATTTAAATTTGTTCTTATGTATTCATATACGTTAATCAAAGACCCCCAGTGCCTGCAGATCCCTGCTTCTACTCATTACCTGGCAGAATGTCTACCTGGCAGGTGTGTTTCCAAGAAGTGCGCACGACACCCACACAGCGGATGAAAACAGGGACCCCTCCGTCCTCCCTGGGAACACTCCACCCCAGACGGTTTCAGGGAGCACTCTACATTTCCCTGTGGTTTAAGCTCTTCTACAATAGAAGATGTGTAAGGGTGTTTTTAAGTCCAGATTTTACGGAACAGTTTTTCTACAGTTTGACCATGAATGTGACAATCAGTCTCTCTGAACCAACTCAAACAGACTATTTTCATTACAGAAGAACAAAATAACCTGAGGTTCTAGCTGAATAATTCTAACAACGAGAAATAAACCCCAGTCTTTGCAGAACAAACACCAGCCTGGCCGGATGCTCTGAGTCCTCGGTACGCACTTGCTGGATATTGAGCTGGGTTCTTATTCTTGTAAATAAGCCATAATGAGAGATCCTGTAACAATTCCTCTATCAATGCTCAGAGATTTTCACCTTTTCCTCATGAAAAGAAGGCCTGGCCGAGCTGCACACCATGAACCAGCTCCCCGGGAGGGGCCTGCTGAGGAGCCCGCCCACCATCAGGCCTCAGGGAGAGAAGCCTCTCTGGGAAGTGGACCTGCTCAATGCCCCAAACTCCCAAAGTGTCAGCTCAGAAATCAACAGGAACACCAGCGATATGGAGATGTCTTTTCCTGCCTGTCTCTCAGAAATTACAAAGAATGGTGAGGCGTCTGACGCTGGAAACTGTCCAGGTCCGGGTCTAGAGCAACGTTTTTCTGGGAGGAGGCAGAGAGCGGCTACTTTGGGCTGTGCGGTCCATCCGGGTTCCATCTCAACTCGACTCGGCCGCTGGAGTGCGAAAAGCAGCCAGCGGCAACGAATGAGCCTGGCTACATTCCAATAAAACTTTACAACAAGCCGGGGCTGGGGTGGGCTGGGGTGGGCTGGGGAGGGAGGGAGGTCTGGAAGTGTGACCATCCCTGCTCTAGATCATTGCTCGGCAATGATCTAGAACAAATACTTCATTTACGAGCACAAGATCGCAAGGAGAGAATTTACTTTTTTGACACTCTCTGGATGCTGCTTCTTTTATCAAAAAAACCAGTAACGACTATAGGTTTTCTTCTTTAAATGGCCTGAGGAAATTCCTCAAAATCAACGAAAGCAGGGACGGGCGTGCGCACCTTTCTCTCCAGGGAGCTGCTCCACTCCTTCAGCAGGTTGACGTGCTGCACCGCGGAGCTGGCCTCGTGGGCCTTGATCTGCTGGTTTGTCCCCTGCGAGAACAAAGATGCAGAGCAATAAGCCAGCGTCATCCCTGGTGCGCAGGGACTAACAGGTGATCTAAAACCAGCACCCAACACGAAGGGGGGAGACATCCACGTAAGGGGAACGGGACTCCCCGAGCCTTACCAGGGTCACGCTCAGTGGCCCTGCTCTGCCGTGTCCGAGTCAGAGACAAGACACTGCAATTCTACGATCTCAAGTTCGTGCTCTTTGTTCCTCAAGTTCCTATCAAATGCCTTCTTATCTACGTTTATACTAGTAACATCAAATAATTAAATTTTAGACACGTTTTTGTTCCTTTATACATTTTTTCCATTATAAATACAAGTAAAACATGTTTAGATAGCTGTAGTTACAGCTAGATACTGTTATAATCTAGCGAACATATAATCAGAGTAGGATTCTAAATAATTCACTAAAACGTTAACAGTATTAAATTATTTATTTCTAATACGCTGTCTCAGAAAACATACCATTCCTCACTATTCTAGGTAAACTCAGAAAGTTACATACAAAACATACACGATCTACAGAGTACACAAGATGGAGACCATCTCAGCGTCAGTGATAAGCATGGGGGATTAGACTTTACATATTTAAGGAAATAATTGGTGTGAAAATATAATTTGTTTTGATACTGGAAAATTAAGCCACAGAAAGCATTTTAATGATCTCCAAAACATATACTCTGTACATAGAATAGTTATATATATATGTTGATATAAGTGGTGCCGTATGTCAACATATACATACACATACACAGAATGGATGATACTACGCACGACATAACAGGGTGTGGCCCAGCCTCCTTGAGAGACTGAAGCTTACAACAAGCCGGGGCTGGGGTGGGCTGGGGTGGGCTGGGGAGGGAGGGAGGTCTGGAAGTGTGACCATCCCTGCTCTAGATCATTGCTCGGCAATGATCTAGAACAAATACTTCATTTACGAGCACAAGATCGCAAGGAGAGAATTTACTTTTTTGACACTCTCTGGATGCTGCTTCTTTTATCAAAAAAACCAGTAACGACTATAGGTTTTCTTCTTTAAATGGCCTGAGGAAATTCCTCAAAATCAACGAAAGCAGGGACGGGCGTGCGCACCTTTCTCTCCAGGGAGCTGCTCCACTCCTTCAGCAGGTTGACGTGCTGCACCGCGGAGCTGGCCTCGTGGGCCTTGATCTGCTGGTTTGTCCCCTGCGAGAACAAAGATGCAGAGCAATAAGCCAGCGTCATCCCTGGTGCGCAGGGACTAACAGGTGATCTAAAACCAGCACCCAACACGAAGGGGGGAGACATCCACGTAAGGGGAACGGGACTCCCCGAGCCTTACCAGGGTCACGCTCAGTGGCCCTGCTCTGCCGTGTCCGAGTCAGAGACAAGACACTGCAATTCTACGATCTCAAGTTCGTGCTCTTTGTTCCTCAAGTTCCTATCAAATGCCTTCTTATCTACGTTTATACTAGTAACATCAAATAATTAAATTTTAGACACGTTTTTGTTCCTTTATACATTTTTTCCATTATAAATACAAGTAAAACATGTTTAGATAGCTGTAGTTACAGCTAGATACTGTTATAATCTAGCGAACATATAATCAGAGTAGGATTCTAAATAATTCACTAAAACGTTAACAGTATTAAATTATTTATTTCTAATACGCTGTCTCAGAAAACATACCATTCCTCACTATTCTAGGTAAACTCAGAAAGTTACATACAAAACATACACGATCTACAGAGTACACAAGATGGAGACCATCTCAGCGTCAGTGATAAGCATGGGGGATTAGACTTTACATATTTAAGGAAATAATTGGTGTGAAAATATAATTTGTTTTGATACTGGAAAATTAAGCCACAGAAAGCATTTTAATGATCTCCAAAACATATACTCTGTACATAGAATAGTTATATATATATGTTGATATAAGTGGTGCCGTATGTCAACATATACATACACATACACAGAATGGATGATACTACGCACGACATAACAGGGTGTGGCCCAGCCTCCTTGAGAGACTGAAGCAAAGGGGAAGCTACCGTCATCCTCGCTCTCACGCTCTTCGCTTTCTAAGAAAGGCCTAAGATGCCAGTATCTCTGTACTGATTTGTAATAATGCACTGGGAATGCATTAAAATTAAATACGTAAAATACTGGAATTGTAATATATACTCTTTTGATAGTCTTAAAATTAAGAGATACATTTATATGAAAACTCAGTTCCAATTCACTAGCAATCTCAGACGTGCTAAAAATAATGAACGCAAGGCCAGAAGCAGGCTCCTCACAGCCAGGTGTGGCTGTGCCGGGGCCCCTCTCCACTCTCCTGGGGGGTGTGGCTGTACGTGCGATCGCTCGTGAACACACACACGTGTGACTCTTACAGCTACGGATTGATGCACATACACCGCCGGACCCGTGTCCGGCTTGTATTTACTTACATTTGAGTAACGGCTAAAGTTCCCAAAACCCGCCACATAAACGTCAGCCCTGTCTGTCTGCTCTACTCATTAGCTGCTTCTCGATGCAGTCATCCTCCTGGAATGTACTGACTTCCCTCTCAGCACAGGTGTCTACCTGAAGTCTCAAAACCCCAGCGGAATGAAAAGTGAGCACCCACGTGAGCACCCATGCAGTTTCCGTCACCCATGCGACGGGGTGATTCGGCTCCCTGACACAGACTAAAATTCCAGAACTTGCACATTAAAATATTAATATAATAAACTGTCTCTCATGGCAGAATGTCAGCGACTGGGAAGGACAAATGTCGGATACTGACCTGAAAAACGCAGCCATAGCGCTTAAAACTACAGGTGCTGGGGGCATTGACACACTCTGACAAGTGTGCACTCAACTGCAACGGGAAAGAGACGTGAGTTGTGGCACAAATGTTTGCATGAAAATGTTCAAACATATTAAGGGCACAGATAGCATCTGGATTGTACTATTACGAATGGTGTTTACCGCTGCAGGTGTGTACATTTCATCTGCTTCCTAGACTCATATGCAGTAAATATACACTATTGTCACGTGTATACACATATATACACCAATATACAGAAATACATTTACTGTAACAGTTCTTAAATTTGCAATTTCTTTAGAACAAGCTGTTCAAAATGTGACATGCTGTCTGCAGTGCCAGAATTAAAAGGAAAAAAAAAAACGTAAACTGAAATGCACATTTAAAGACTATAAACAAAAATTGCATGAAACACAAAAAATAGAAAGCATTCAGGATGCAGCTGGGTCACACACCTAATATACAGTACACAAGAATAGGTACATTTCCAGAGCGAGCTCCCACAGGGTGCCGTGCGCTCAGTCCTCAGTGTAACTGGAGAGGGGTCTCCTTCTAGAAGACCTTTCTCCTCTGCATGGCCGTTAAGTCACGCAGCTTCTCAAAGGACTCTAAAGGCATTCCGACAACACGAGCCAGTACTGTCACCACTGACTGACGGGAGAGGATAACTCATCAGGCCCTCTGTCCATCTTACATGCTGGTGGATCATCAAGTAAGAACCACCTACGATGCCCCGCAGGGGGAGAGGAGACAAACGCCTGCACGTGCTGGTGGGCGGCGAGTTCCCGCGACCTCCCCTTCCAGGTCAGTGTTTAGTGCAGAGACAAACGGAGCCCGGGACCTCGCCCTGCTGGGGCTGCTACGGCGGAGGGTGATGTCGAAGGGTGGCCGCCCGACCGCCGCCAAGGCCAACCTTGGCGGGAGGGCTCTGAGCCAGGGAGGCCACGGGGGTCACAGACCTAGTCCCCAGCACACCTGACGTCCCTCCGGACCCAGCCTGGGAGGTCGTGCACCTGGAGGGAAGCTCTGAGAAAGAAGGGCCATCGCAGGTGACCCGCAGGGAAGTGAAGCATAAGACTGTCCCTGCGGTCACTGGCAACTCGAAAATCTTCACACACATCCTTTCAGCGCCATTAACGCACTGTGAGTCTACGCAGCTAGCGCTTCTGATGCCGAAAGCAGGGACGTGGTGAGTTTGATGTTATTTTCAGTGCACTGCTATAAATTCAGGGTCATACTTGTTCCTAAATTGGCTTTATTGTCATCACTCTCAGAAGCTTCTAGTATTTCTAGGCATTTTGGAATAGAGGCAAGAATAATCTATAGTACTTTTCATCAGAAACCCAAGGTAAACGCAGGTTTAAAGATTTTTTAATATAAAAATAACTTAGAGGTAAAATGGAAGTGGCTTTTGTCTCTAATTCACAGAGCCCTGACTGAGGAAAAGCTGAGGCAAGTGTATAAAACCCTAGCAGTTACCTCAGCGGTACGAACCCCACGTGTCCATCTCACGGAGGGGCTGTCCAGGTGTGGAAGCTACCTGCGTGCACCTGCCCGCTACTCCGAGAGCCACATTCAGGGCACAGGGACCACTGCCCCTGCCCCAAAGAGTCAACTTCTAGAAGGACACACCTCGAGTGAGGGTGGCTCTTGGGGAATCTCTCTGCACCCGTGTCTCTGGACTGAGGTCCAAACAGGTCCTCTCGCTCACTGGCACGTGAGAGACCAGACCTCCCCCTCCCCAAAATCTGGGGGTAAAACTCAAGGGTGTGAAAAAGGCTGAGGTGAGCAGGCTCCTCAAATCGGAGCACCCAGGACTAAGGGGACAGCCAAGGGACCAGGGGACGCACACACCCGGAGCCTCAGATGGCACTCGAAACAGCAATCAAAGGGGCTCCAGGTCAGGACCAGATGCAAAACATTAAAAACCCGTGGGGTTTTTCCATCTGGATCCATCCTGATCAGGTGAAGTGAATGCAAAGTCTACTGCCTGCCTTAAAGAAAAGGGCCCAAGGGGGGTGTGACATGAACAGCCTCTGGGGAGGCTACCCGAGGGACTTTCCTGGCAGCCCTGAAATTCAGGAGCCGCTCACACCCGCCTGCTCCCAGCGCCAACCGCACACAGCACGCACACAGCACGTGTGGCCAGATGGTTCCGAAATATCTCTAAATGGATTTATTTTCTTGAGACAATCATAGTAATTCCTACTTTACAGATTTAAAAAGTTTTTTTAGACCATAAAAAATGACATCTTTGCTTGCATAGTAAAGTAATCCCATTTTCTTAATTCTTAAAAATTTAACGCTTTGTAGCTTTTAATTGCTTGCTTCTGAAATTTCTGATCCAAGAAGAGCATGAGGTCTCTCGTGTTCCTGCTCTACGTATCAGCACCGTGACTGGTGAAAACCTTAGGTTCCAGCTACTAAGGGAAAAGAGGAGCCCATGGCACGCTCGTCCCGGACACTCACGAAGCCCCAGCCAGGCCCGGCCACGCCCTCACCTCGCTCCTCAGAAGGGTCTGGACGCTGCACTTATGAGGGCAGGACACCACCACACACGGACACTCAGTGTCTTCGTGTTTCTGGAGGAGAAAAAGAAAGTGTCGTCAACTCTGAAACACACACGCTGCCCTTCAGATCCCGCAAACGTCTCCACATGGACCCAACGGAAGCCCTCTGCTCACTGTTATTGTCCCCTCGTGTCACAGCGCTCACAATACACCCGGATGGGTCCTTTTATTGAAAAAGTTTGAGTGCTGAAAAATAAGGCCTCTCCCATCTACTCGACACCTGACTAGCGAGGGCACCCTGTGGGGTGTGCCGGGCAGCGTCACCGTGGCAGCCCCTTCCGCAGCGGCCCCGCTGTGCCGCTGCTGTCCGTGCCCTTGCTCGCAGTGCAGGCCATGGTGGGCTGGGACTCTGCCCCATGTCTGGCATTTGCTGGCTGAAAAGAGGGACAGGTTTCTTTTGGCCTCTCAGTTTGGGATCTGGAAATGATGCTTCTCAAACACCTGAAAACAGTGTGATCTGGTCGGTGTTTAAATTATGGTCCTGAAGTCTTGTCTACATTATCGTTAGTGCATGGAAAATAGAGATAAATTCTGGGTTAGTCCTTCCCCAAATGGCACAAATTTTAACCTCGAAGGGCCTAGGTGACAGCTCAACTTGAAGGCACAGGCCCCCGTCCACGGTGAGAGGAGGGCAAGAATGTCACACCCGAGGACGCTGGAGAGACTGAGGGACTGCTGCGGGTGTCCCTAAGCGGGGAGAGACAGCGATGTTCCCTCCTAGGCCCTGGGCCACTTCCGCTTCTCACCATCTGGTTTTCTCTGGGCGTCCAGTTATGCGGCCAAATTGTCCCAAAGTGGCTGCATCCACACTAGGTACACTCCCGTAAAATGAGAGCTTTGTAATTCTGACTTCTCGCAAATTAACAGAACTGTTTAAAGAGACTGACATTCAATAATTTCTAGACTAAATGTAAAAGGGATTTTTCATGACACTTTAAATGATGCCGACCTATATATTAAAAAAAAACCCTCAAAAACAGCTGATATGACATCAACATCACAGTTCAGACAGAGAAAGAAACTCCCACGTGAGGTGCAGCAGTCCAGGTTCCAATGCTTTATCAATCTGTATTTTATCGGCATCGGACGTGCTGACCCAACACAAAACGCAGGATTGTAGGATGTCAGGGTGGCCCGTGGTGTTCGGCCCACCTGGGTCAGACAGCCGCTCTTTCTAAACGTAAACTTAAAGCCTGGGGAAAGGAGCCCAGTGTGTTAGACTTGAAAAAACAGAGCTTGGGAGTCAAATCACGCCACGGATGGGACAGAAGTGCCAGGGCGAGTCACGGGACCTTCACTGGCGTGCAAGGGAGTGAGTGTGCAGCTCCCTGCTGGCAGGGAGGCTGGCGAGTCAGGGGCATGGTGCACTGGCAGTGGCCTGCCCAAGGTGTGTCCCCACACTTGTCCAGGGCCCGACAGAGAGCAGCGTACACTGCAAGATACACGATAATGTCAACACTGTTAGAACAGTTTGAAAAGTTTTCTTCTCCACAAGAGCGTAGTGAGATTTACGAGGATTATTTATTTGTACAACTTAGGTCTCAAACTTGCTGTCATTTTATGTATCTGCACCTGCCTCTATCCGGGTTTGCAGCTAACAAACTTAACACCCAGATAAAATGAAATGCGACCTGCTCGCCAAAGCCCTCCACGACCCCATCAGGCTAAGTGAGCTGGCCCTCCCTCATGAGTCACGCTTTCCCCAGGACCAGGGGTAACATGAGGGGCGAGGCTGTCGGCTGTGCTCTCATGCATCCCGGATGACTCGGGGTCTGCTGCCCAACACGCACTCAACAGACGTCTCAAGAATCCTGTGCTGTGTTGTTATTTTGAAACCAGTCTCCTCACTCACAGCCCAATTCAGGAGTTACTTATATGGTGTTTAATTAACATGCCCTACCACGCTTTCTCAGATGAGATTAATTCCTGGGTTCTATTCTGCAAATAAAAGGCACTGATTTTTGTAAGAAGCGAAGTATAACCGCGATGCAGCACACTAACGTGTGTACGGCCTGCAGTGTCTCACTCGCTTGAGTTTGATTACTGAGGGAATTACTCAACTATGACAGATGCCACCACTATTCTTTGGAAGGGAGGGTTCAGTTCTTAAAAGTTCTTAGTAACTGGAAAAGTTCTTAGTCTAGAGAATCACATAGGGAAAAGCTTTCACGACAGAAGAAAGTCACGGGTGCAGGAAACTTAGATGAAGTAAGGTAAATAGGAAGAGTATAAAAAGTACATTTCATTTCATACTGAAAAGTACAAACTTCTCCTAAATTCTGGTCAGCAGGCTCCAGAACCTCTACCAGGAACTCGGCTGGCGCCCAGCTGCACTTGCCTAGGGCCATCAGTCACCACCCTGCCAAAGTCCGGGGTCCACCCCCAGCCCCTCCCTGCTGGGCCTTTCGCCCTCCAGCTGCCCCAGGTGCCACCCCGCCCTCCAGCTCCCTTGCTCTGGGACACCACCGTCCAGCACCGTCCAGATCCCGCCACGCCGACCACTGCTCTGGCTCACCTCGCGTGCCTCGGCTTCTGTCCTCTGGCTGGCCCTCCTCCCCCTCGCTGCAGTGCCATGGCTGCGAGGACACCTACTGGAGGCCTGACCACTGCCCTCTCCTCCCCGCAGCTCGTCACCCTCCACCGAGCCCCACCTCCGCTTCGTCCAGCTGCTCGAGTTACAAACGCTGGGTGTCCACATTCGAGCCCTCAGCTAATCCCACTGGTTACCCCAGGGCCTTTCCCCATCCCTGCTTTCCTTGTCCAGGCCAACCCTGGGCCCCACCTCCGTGCCGCCGTCTATCACGCCTGCCAGAGCAGTGCCATGCGGAACTGACGCCACCACCCCAGCTCAAGGCTGTCCAGTGCCTGCCCACGTGCCTTCCGGTCTGCCCCCCGTCCCCTCTGCACGCTGGCCTGACAGTTCCCCAAATCTACCTGCCAAGCTGCCTCTACTTGGGAGCCCGTGGGCGCCCCCGAGGCCGCCCCCTTCCGAGGCTCTCCCTGCAGGGGGCTCACTGCCACAGGTCCCTGACCACCCCCTTCCCACGCCACCGGTTTACTCATCTTCACAGCACAAATCACGACCACGTCACACGCCCGCCTGCTGTCTCTCCTCACTAGGAGGTGAGCTTCGCCATCATATCCTGGGACCCCAGGACAACGCCTGGCACTCAGCAGATGCCCGTTCAACAAACGGGAACACACGCTACTGACTGTTTTCCAATTACGTTCAGTATTATTTTAGATTACATCGTGATTGTTTTTACAGTTTGTCCTCCACCCTCAACTCTTCCTCTTTAATTTACAGATAAGCGATCTGATTCTCACATGCACGCCATGTCGAACTGTGCCAAAACCATCGAGGCGTGGAGAAGATGTTAAATTCTCCTCTCTCTCTGAGACAGACAGGTGTACTTCACACCGCAGGATTAAGGACCCTGAAGTGATGGTCATCACAGAGCTATTAAACAATCAAGCCATTCCGCAAGACTCTGAGGCTATTCCCTTAAAATTCCTCTAAAGAACAAGTACGCTCACTTCTTCCAACGAATGACAAATGAAAAATTCTACCTTTTTAAAAAATAATTAGTCTTCATTTTTTTGGCATCCCAAACGATAGTCAATCAAGGCAATGAAAAATGCTAATCACATGAATGAAAATCTGCAAAGCAAATAAAGCTTAACTCTGAAATAAAGTCAAATGAAAATTGCTATTTACTCTTCTCTCTTCTCTTTCTTCCTGTTAGAACAGTCATTTAAAAGCTATTCTGTGGACGGGGCACACCTGGACCGCGCGGACAGTCGGAGAACGAGACAATACTGCACCTGCAGCGTGATCATCGGGACCTGACTCTTGCAGTGGCTGCAGGTGGCCTCGCGGTATTTGCAGGCTTTTTCCACATGATCACGCAAGTCTTTCCTCAACTCTCTTTCTTTGCAGTCAGCGCGAACACACGGAAGTTCTTCGAACTGGCAATCGTTCCTCAAATGCACCTGTAAGACAGACAATTCGAAGATCTTCATCGGCAAAACATTCAATCCGAAATGCCAGATTCTCAACTCCATGCAATTAAATCCTACGGAAAATGTTTCTCTCTGCCATTAGACCAGTTTTTCACAGAGAAGAGTGACAAATGTATCAAGAGACACTGAATTTTATACTCTAGTGGTTACTTGAACTATATTGGTTTTGAAGAATTATGTCAACTCTTTCTGGATAAATAAACGGTTATATGCTAAGGATTTTGTTTTATTCTAATTCACATATCCTTTCGAGATAAAATGATACTAATCAAAAAATCATAAAAAGTTATGTGAAATTTCAGGGTGAAAAAAAAAGTTTTAATGGGCCTTCCAAAATTAAAATTCAATTCAGAGTTCTTTCTATTCTAATAGGGTGGGAGTGTTTAAGAATCAGTTGGCAGTTCTGCTAATGATGTCATAAAAATAACATCTCATACCCAAGTGGCTTTGACGGCCTTCCCACTGGCTGTGTTTTACAGGATTAATGTAAACATGGCCTCGAGGTGCTGCATCGCACTGCCCAAGGACCCGTACCTCAGTGAACCTACCGTGCCACTGAGACGCTTACCAGCAGGTGTCCCAGCGTGAGCTGCTCTGCACAGCCTCGACTTTCATTCCTGCAATATATCTGAAGAGCCAGAATCTCTCTCTTGCAGCAATTATCCTTAAACACCTGAAATTGAAAGACAGTTATTTTAGGGGATTAGTATTTCTTAATCTCCACATGCTGTTACTTCGGACAAGGCAAAACCACTTCAAAAAAATTAGGAGAGCATCATTTAAGTGGACCTCAAAAAACATTAAGGACCATCTTAATTTTTAATTTCTGTACGTAGAATAAAGGAGCGGTCCCCATTAAGAGACATGAGTTAAAACTTGTAACTGCCAGTTCTGTTAGATGAACCAAAAGAAATCAAGTTATATGGAATAACTGGAGATCACGTTGGAGCATCCAGACATTTCGGATTGGCTCTGACACAATCTCGAGGTGGGGCACACCAGGACCAAGTTCCCATTTGCACACTGGAAACTTTCAGGAGCTGGCACTGCGAAGGTGGCCATGGGGGTAAATGCCTCCTGTCAAGGGACGAGGGCAGAACCCACTGCAATGCGATGCCTCTTTCGATCGCTTGCTAGAGAAAGAGGAACTACTGTAAAACAGCATGTCTTGTAGGCGGCTTATAAAACATTTCATTTTGGTTCCTTCTTCTAAAGTTATGTCACTCACAACTCCATTTTCACTAAAGAAGAGGCATTAGCCTGTGATTTTTTTAAAAATAACTCTTTTGAATTTATACTGCAAAGACTGAGATTAATGCAATAATGAAAATGTTTCCCTTTGAAAATGAAAACCTTCCTTTCTTTAATTTTAAATTCCTTTAGAGAACAAGTACACTCACAACACAATCTATACTGCCTGAGGCTTGAGGCATTTCTGCGAAACTCCCACACGTTATCGCTGCTACCGTGGGAAAATAAGACAGGGATCTTAATGTCTTTTTCAACTCCACAGGCAAAGAAAATAGAATCAACAGCTGTTAACAGTTAAAAATAAACTAATTTCGGGTCAAACCTAATCCTTTATAAACATAATTTAAGATCATGACCTTTTTCAAAGTCAAAAAAAACAGGTGTTTTTAACCAGTAAGAAATAATTTCCCTTTTGTGTCATTAAATTCCTTAAGTCACTCGAGTTTAACGCTACAGATAAACAAACAAACATAGATTGAAAACATCAGAATAAAAGTACAGAATTTTAGAGCTGAGAAGATCTGACTGTTTACTGCAACTGCCCCATATTACAGATGAGGGCCTCAGGTCCCACAGTGGCCATCACCGGTGACTTCAGCCTCCCAGGGCCCAACTTCCTCCTGAGACTCCAGGGCTTCAGCCAGCCTCATTTATGATTCAAAAAAAACTAGTAGGGACATTAATTCTGAATAATAACAGACACTAAAAGATCGTCTTAGCCTGCTGTTTCAACCTTCTCTCTCAATCACATTGGTTAGATACACATCAACAAGTTAACAGATTAGTTACCAGTTAAGATACTGGGGTGGAGTCGAGCAATTTTTCTTAAAAAACAGCCTCTTTTCCTGTTACGAACCAAAGTCTTTGGCAGCAGGTAGCACTCAGAAAGGAAAGGTACGGGGACATATGTACTCTCTAAACTGTCCAGGGCAGGTCACATCAGATGCTCCTGTCCCAGCAGCCCAGGGCACCTGTCGCCAGCAGCCCTGCAGTCTCTGTGCTCACCTGGGCTGCCCGACCATAAACCCAATCTGCAAAGTGTTTTAGACAGGAAAACCCCTGAGCGAGAATTTTATTGTACAATTTAATGACCTACAGTTAAAAAACCGTTAGGTTCATTAATCAAAATACTAGAACTCCACATTTTTATTGATGTTTTAAGTACTTTAAGGATGAATCATTTCAGACTTAAAAGTGTGCCCGGCAGCATCTGGCAGCACATGGATGGCCAGAGACGCCATGAGAGGGGCCCCAGGAGGCTGGTGGGCACCTGTGCTCTGAGAGTCTGTGATGACCCCATGACTGCCACTGGCACACGCGGGTACGAAGGGGAGGGAAGGAGAGAGGAGGGGCTGACGTCTCACATGTGGCTAATGACTACGAGACACTGCATGGGGGACAGGAGAGAACAAGTTCAATGGAGCCCACAGACTAGATAACACGATTGCAGAGGCAGAGCACAGCTGCGTGGTATAAAGGCCCGAGACCACGCCTCCTTCACTCCTGTGGGGGGTCAGGAGGGGGCGGCACTGCCACTGTAGGTGAGGGCAGGTGAGGAGGGCGAAGCCCCTCGCTGAGCTCACACAGCAGGGCAGCCTGCGGGTGGATCCTCCCTGCCTGGCTAGGGGCTCACAGGACATGGTCCTGACTCGGCCCACTGTACCGGCCATCACGTCACACTCTGGGGTAAAACTGGAGCGCCAAGGCACTGGCCACCAACCACCTGGCTCAGAACACCGACCAAGCAGTTGCTTAAAGCCCAGGAATACCTTGTCTTTAATGATGCTCTCTTGACACGCAGTGCACTTGGGGCTTGAGGAGCTGAGGAGAAACACACGAGTGCGTTAGAGCAGAAGTCCCACATCACCAGGCCCCCCGGACACGCCAGGCCCGACGGTCCAGCCGGGTGGGCGGCGCGGGCGGCAACCAGATGCCACGGCGTCTGGTTTAAATACGAAACCATAGGAGAAAGGGGCATGTTTAATGGTCATTTTTCATAAGGAAGTTTTTAAGCAGATCAGTCCCATCTGGAAAGCCCCTTTCAAGTTAAAAGTGAAATTTTATTTCAGAAACCAAAACCAGCCATCTGTGGGGGGCTCTGTGGTGTGAGCACGCAGCTTCTCAGGAGCTGGTATTTTCTGGGCAGCTCTTCCCCGCCCGGTGCCCCGCGCGGCCGG